AGGTTTTGCACACAAGGAATCAGACAAAGATTGAATTTTTATTAATAATATCATTTACAACAGGATTCAAACCAGCCACAAGGACAACTGTTGGTGAGTCTTCCCTGTTTCTCTGTTTATTTCTCACACTGCTGATGAAGGACACAGGAGTGCCTGAAAACTCCAGACTTAGAACCTTAATTTCCATGCTTCATTTCTGTCTTGTGGCTAATAATTAATATTTAATAAATGTTTTTCATACTGATCACATTGGTACCCTTTCGTTTGCCTTTGTTTTATTAACCAACCTATCTATTTTACATACTATAAGAAGTACACATGGACTCTTTCTTCTAATTATATATATATATATATTAAATTGCACAAGGCTTGACAGTCATTCAAGTTAGTCAATACTGAGTGTGATATATAATATGAATGAATTGTAAAGAAACTTTTAACCTGTTAACGAAACTTTATTATTTAGGGAATACTGTCCATAAGTCAGGTTTGGCCATTTCTTTTATAATCAAATATTTTGAGGGGGAGACAACTGTGGTTTCTTTCACAGGAAGAGAAGGTGGTAAGAAATGAAGATTATGAGAATAAGAAAGAAAGATGATAATTGGCCCTTACTTCAAATATATCAAAATTAAAGCTTATTTCATGTAAACATCTAAAAAAAAAAAAATCTACAATTCCACTATATTATGAATATTATTATTATTATTATATATTAGGGTGTATCAAAAGCATTTTCATTTTTGAGAGTCCTTTATTCTAAAGCTAATTTCATGTACACATATAGGAATTGAAAATATTAATATTTTATAGCAGAGTGCATGAAAAATATTTTCATTTTTGACAGATATTTACTGCAAAGCTTATTTCATTTACATATCTATGACTCCACAATATAATCAATATTATTACTAATATATATTAAGGTGTATCAAAAGTATTTTTATTTTTTAGAGCCCTTTACTCTAAAGCTTTTTTCATTTATATATCTATGACTCCACAATATAATCAATATTATTAATAATATATATTAAGGTGTATCAAAAGTATTTTTATATTTTAGAGCCCTTTACTCTAAAGCTTTTTTCATTTACATATCTATGACTCCACAATATAATCAATATTATTACTAATATATATTAAGGTGTATCAAAAGTATTTTTATATTTTAGAGCCCTTTACTCTAAAGCTTATTTCATTTACATATCTATGACTCCACAATATAATCAATATTATTACTAATATATATTAAGGTGTATCAAAAGTATTTTTATTTTTTAGAGCCCTTTACTCTAAATCTTATTTCATACACATATTTAAAAACTATGACTCCACTATATTATAAATATTATTATTACTATATATTAGGGTGTATCTGATTTTCATTTTTGTGAGTCCCTTTTAGCCTAAAGTCTATTTCATATGAAGACTATCTATGACTATATAATTTATATTATTGTTACTATCTATTAGGTCTTTCAATAGTACTTATTTTCTTTTTCATATATACATCTAAAGTTATATGTGATTCTATTATTATTAGTATGTATCAAAAGTATATTCCTTTTTACAAATCTTTACTAAAGCTTATTTCATGTACAAATCTAATGACTATTTATGATTCTACTGTATAATTAGTATTATTATTATTACTATATATAAGAATGTATCTTTTTTTTTTAATTTTTGAGAGCCCTTTATTCCAACTTCACTTTACTACCTTTTTCCTTTTTTCACTTTTTCCAAATCTTTCAGCATGACTTCAAATCCTATATATTATTCAAAAATATTAATAGACTTATTATATATTAGGTTGTATCAAATGTATTTTTTATTTTTTAGACCTTTACTCCAAAACTTATTTCATGTATACATATAAAGACCATGGCTATTATATATATATATATATATTTGGTTGTATCAAAAGTATTTTCATAGTTTTCACAGATGTTTACTTTCTAATCTTCACTTCCCTCTATTATTAAAATTATTATTATTATATATTAGTTTGTATCAAATGTATTTTCATTTTATTTTTTTAAAGATTTTTTATTAAAAAACTGATTTAAAATACACACTTAAGAACTAAGACTTCATTATATTATTTTTGTAGTATATTATGGTGTATCAAAAATATTTTCATTTTTGACAGCCCTTTACTCTAAAGCTTATTTCATGTTCACATGACTGAGTCCAGCATATTATTAATATTATTAATATAAACACTTCCCAAAACCACACCTTAGAATTGACAGAAAGAAATCAAAGAAGACCGAAATTTAAGAATAGTTAGTTGTGTAGATATTGATAAAAGGGAAACTGTAGCAGAAAATTACATTTTGTGCATGAAGCAGTGTGGCAGCAATAGCAAATAATTAAAGCAACTAAAGAGAGAAAAGGAGACAGACAGACAGACAGAGAGAGAAAGAGTGAGAGAGATGAAGTTTGAGGGAAAAGGAAGGGGTAGAAAAAAAAGTAGAAATAGAAAATGTAAGATAAGGAGAACATTTTTCTTTTCTTGTACGGTCAAGGATGTGAACATTTTGTGGGTTTGTTGGATTTTTGGTCAAAATAATCACTCATCTTCCCTTTTTTTCTATTGCTCATATGAGGAAAGATAAAAAGATAAGATTAAAGAAAAGAAAGAAGAATGTAAATTTAAAAGGGAGTGGTTGGAGAAAGAAAGGAAGAAAAATGATGAAAAGAAAGATAAGAACAAAACACGTTATGGAGCATAAATGATGAAAAGAGAGAAGGAAAGAGAGAAAGAGGGAGAAAAAGAAAATGCATTGGAGGGGAGAATAAGAAATGATGAAAAAAAGAGAGAAATGATGGAAAAAAGAGAGAAAGGAGAGAAATGATGGAAAAAAGAGAGAAAGGAGAGAAATGATGGAAAAAAGAGAGAAAGGAGAGAAATGATGGAAAAAAGAGAGAAATGATGGAAAAAAGAGAAAAATGAAGAGAAAAGAGAAAAATGGTGAAAAAAGAGAAAGAAAAAATGATAATGAAAAAAAGATAAAAAGGAAGATGAAGAAATGAAGGCAAATAAAAGAAAGAATTAGAGGAAGATTAGAAGGAATAAACTGTGAAAGATAGAAAAAGAAAAAAGAAAGCAACTAAAAAGAGGAAATAAAAAGAAAAGAAAAATAGAAAAAGAATAAGAATAGGAAAAGCAATTAAAAGAAAAAGAAAAAAAAACGGAAAGAAAAAGTGTAAGAAATATGACAGCAAACACAACATCTAAACACTCACGATTGTGTTAAATTCCTGCAATGGAAACAATAAAACTTTAATTAAGACAAAAAAAGCAAAAAACTTTTTCCTAGAAGTTTTTGTAAGTGTAAAATCGTTTGAACTGTGAAAGTAAGTTTCAGGAGGCAAATTATGTTTTGGTTAGGAGTTAATTGACTTTTCCAGACAGATAGCAAAAAAAAAAAAAAAAAGAAAAGAAAAAAAAAAAATAGAAAAAGTTTTAAAAAGCTAAATTAAAAAACAAAAACAATTATAGCAAAACACATAAACAAACAAAATAGTAGAAACTACAATGAAACAAAACACATGTAACAAAGTTCAAACAAACATGCTAGGTAAGTACAATTTTTGGAGGCGAGAAAAATAAAAGATAATATTCATAATTTGGCATTTCCACAGAAACATATCCAAGAAATATTAATTTTCTTTTTCAATTTATTTTCCTTTTAGTATTGATTAAACTCTCCAGATCATATATATATATATATATATATATATATATATATATATATATATATATATATATATATATATAATATGATCAAAAATATATATATATATATATATATATATATATATTATATGATCAAAATAGTATGCTATATTTATAGGTAAAAAGTGCTCAATATCAGGGATAGAGCATGTGAATATAAAAGTGTGCACTAAAATCAACACCAAGTGGTGAGAGCATTTTTCGTGGTTCTACACAATCTTCAAGCCATGGGCATTAGGTTTTGTGACAAGTCAATTATTATTTTCCTTTTTAAATTTATTTTCCTTTTAGTATTGATATCCAGATCATATATATATGATCATATATATATATATATATATATATATATATATATATATATATCCATTACATTCACTTACGTGCTAATACCTCTGGGAAAGGTATGAATCCTCTTTCTCTCCCTCGAGCTATGGATAAAATAGCAGGACAGACTGGGTTCTATAGCCTTGGATGGCAACTGATCTAAGGGAAGGACAACTCTGAATTCAAAACCTGTGGAGGGTCGTTTGGGAACCTTGTGGCATTCGGTGCACCAGGTCTCTGTATTCGTCCCTTCAAAAAGTGTGGATGGTCCTGCACGAGGCCTTCACCACTATAATCAAATCTCATGTGCCGGTGTCGGGCTGTTGGTTTCCTGGAAACTGATCTGCTTGACCCTCAAACATCGAATCTTGATGGGAGAGTCGACTATATAATATGATCAAAATATAGCTTTAAGGTATGCTATATTTATAGGTAAAAAGTGCTCAATATCAGGGATAGAGCATATGTGAATATAAAAGTGCACACTGAAATCAACACCGAGTGATGAGAGCGTGTTTCGTGGTTTTACACAATCTTCAAGCCATGTGCATTAGGTTTTGTGACAGTCAGTCAATTATGTGCCATGTGTGATACATGCTTAGGCGATCATGTATCTTTTGATACATGACTGACAAGGCAGGTTTTTTTCCCACAGTAGGTTGCCATTTCGTTCTGCGGTAGGCCAGTTGCCATCCAAGGCTATAGAACCCGGTCTGTCCTGCTATTTGTTCATACCTAGGGCAGGGGAGAAGAAGAGGATTCATACCTTTCCCAAGAGAATGTAATGGATTCAACTGGAATTTGAACTTAGCTCTCTGATTCCTCAATCCAAAATGTTATCCATTGCTCCACCATGCCTCCTCCTTGTGACAGACAAACACCTAATAATAATGGTGATCCTTTTCTCATAATTTCAAACAGCTTTCTAGCTTATGGCCACATCATATTGAATTGCTGGTTCCCTTAAGATTACTGAAGTTAAGCAACATCAAGCCTGGTCAGTACCCAGATGGGTGATCACTTGGGAATACTAGGTGCTATAAGCTTGGATGCACATGGATGATGGCTCAGAATTGTTAATTGGAGAGCTGAGTCCCCATTCCAGTCAGGTTTGTTATATTCACGTATGTGTAAATACTCTTGATAATGGCACAAAACCACTTCTCCCCCAACTATGGGTTAATTATTAAGCCTTGTATCACTAAATCATTATTATCTTCCCCTTCCAAAAAGATTTCTTACACTGTAAAAATATATTCTGGTTTTAAAGAAACTGCAAAGGGCTGATAAGCCATAGAAAACAATTCAGTCAATCAATTGTTAAAAAGTCATCATCTGTTATATGAACAGAAGAACTCACATTGGAATACAGTATTTTAAGAATTGTAAAAATATAAAGAATTTTATTTCCTTGCTTTTCAGTGATTAGAATAGAAAGTGAAATTAATACTCAGGTAAGTAATCACACATACTGAATATAGACATCCACCATGTTTTTTTTTTGTCTAACGGAGAATATTTATAATCTCTGCTTTTGAAATCCTGACCTAGTATCTTGACTTCAGTCACTTTCTCACTGGTGTGACATGGCTTCCGTCTATCTTTTCTACAAATATTTTCATGGCAATTGTTCTGATGAACTTTCCTCTTTGGTGGTATTATGGTGACTGTAGTAAGAATGGTAAGTAAGAATGTGTTGTTTTCATGCAAGGAATGCTGTTATATGTTTGGGTGAGTAATTGTGGCTAGACAGATTGAAGACCAGCCTTTCACTATCCTCACGTTTGGCCTTTTGCCACATTTTTGTATTAAAACAAAATAAATATTACTTGCCTCTTTCGTGTCCTGATTAAGTCTCATCCTTTTAATATTTAACGAGCAGTTCTATTCTAATAGATTCTTTTCTCACCAGTGTAACTCCATTTTGATTTCTTGCTTGCCTGCTACCTAAAATCTTCAAAAATTAAAATGCAATGCCAATCACCATCTTCTGTCTTTTTGAATTTTGTTCTTTTATTGTCTTATCTCCTTATAAAAGTCTTCTCATTCTCTTTCACTCCAAGTAACCCCTTGCATCCTAGTTGCATTATTGCCTTGCTTGGACTAAAATGATTAAAAAAAGATAACTGCTACAGAAGCATTAATAGAAAGGTTTTTTATTTGGATAATTTTTTCAACTTACGTTCTTGGTAAATATAGAGGATCTTCATAACCACCGATGAATAACTTACTGATTGCCAATTTGCTCAGAGTTCCTTGTGAACGTCCTGTAACTATAAAAATAGGAACATAACAGGAGATTGGGATTACATCTTTTTATGAATTATGTTGTAGTGATAGCAATCAACAAATTACTAAATAACACTCAGCCACTATTAGTAGACTATGTAGTCGTCTGCAACCAAAATAATTAATAATAAAAGAAAAAATTAAAAGTTAGGCAATGAAAAATATTTTAAAATACAGATAAGAATGGTAATTAACAAGATAGAAAAGTTAGATTATAAAAAAAAGTTAAATAAAATATAGAAAACTCCCATAATGCATCAGAACAAACATTTTACTGCCAAAAGAAACCAAAATCAAATCTTTCTCTCTCTTTTTATTTCGACTGCTGAAGGAGGCAGATATTCTGGGCAATTTTCTGATAAAGCATGTTGCCACCAACAGATAAGAAAAATTTGTTTAAATATATATATATATATATATATATATATATATATATATATATATATATAAGTATATAATTGGTATATACGGAATGAATTCCAATAACCAACAATTACTATTCTTAAAAGAGTGCTCAATACAAAGTAGAGCAGATATAATTATTATTTAAAAAAAAAAAAAAAAAATTATAACATAAGTATAGCCATTTTGTTTCAACACACTCGGTGTCTTATGAAGTGATGATGTTGAAGACAAAATAAATGGTTTTAAAAGTTTCAGATTAATTAACGATCCTACACTGGGGGAAACATTGTTACAAAAGCTAGAATAACCAATCAAAAACCAAGTATAGAAAGATTTATAGCCATTATGTTATAATATTTTTTTTTTTTATAAATAATAATTATATATATATATATATATATATATATATATATATGACAAAATAGAAAAAGTTTTCTTGTGACATGTCCTTTAAAACTTTTTCTATATTGCCACACATATTTCCCCAATATTGTTCTTGATATATGAAGATATATATTGTTATCTCATATATGTATACACTGCGTGCCAAATTATTATTGAGATAACTTTTTTCTAATATTTCAAAAACCGTCCAATCAATTCCCACAAAATTTTTACACAATGTTGGCCACAATGACCTGCACAATCACTAAAATTTTTGTACTGATCTGCGCAATGTAAACAAACTGGTGCCATATTTGTTAGCATGGTGATTTGAGTGTGCCAAATTATTAGAAAGATTTTGTAAAATTCACAGAATTGAGTAAACAAAACGTTTATTAATGTTGCACGTGAATGTTTATGATCAAAAGAAGCAAATAAATAAGATAATCAAACAAATAATAACAGATACAAACAAAAGTACAGTTTTAAACAAATTAATAGGGAATGTGCTTTCCCTGTTTTGAAATTACTTGAAGAAGTTGCCGATCCATAGAATTTGTTAATTGTAGGATGTCATCTGCTGTAATACCATGAGATATGTCAAGAATTGTTTCCCACAACTCAGCATTGCTCCTGAATTGTTGTCCGTTGGCGTACAGTCTTCGCTTCATGATGCTCCAAAGGTTTTCAATTGGGTTCAAATGGAGAATTTGCTGGCCACTTCATTTTTTGAGATCCATCAAAGCCTAACTGTTTCAAATATTCAGTAGTCTTGTGAGGGAGCATTATCTTGCATAAAAACAATGGCCCTTCTGAAGGCAACACTTTACCTTTTCATCTACGGTTCAAGATGCTCCTTCATAAATGCTATGTATGCATCAGCAGTCATTTTGACGCCATCTGGTACTCTCATTGGGCCCACTAATGTTTTTCCAATAATACTAACCCAGATCATTATGCCGCCACCGCCTTGTTGGCATCTCAAACGCTGATGGCGATTCTGTCCGTTCATTATCCAGCCTTTGCACCATTTATCTAGCCCATCAAGTGTTGCGCAAGTTTCGTCTGTGAACAAAACTTTAGAGAAGTCAATCTTCATATTTCAATCGATTTTGAATGTGATTTCTCGTCAACGGAGGCTTCGATACAGGTTTGACTGTTGTTGCTATTTCCCTCAGACATCAAGTACTTTTAGACACAGTAGGATCCCCAGTGCGACTGAAAAGCTCTTGACTGGTAAGTCCAGGGTTCTTTGTGGCCTCTTGTTTAAGTCGTGACATGAGACGACATGAAATAACCCTTGGCTTGCCTTTATCTGCCCTTTTGCGTACTTGTGTAGGGTTGGCGGTGAACTTTTTCACTGTTTGACGACACCGCCCTATCATTTTAGAAATTTCTAGGGTAGATTTACCTTTTGAGAGTTCTGAGGTGATAGTTTTCTTTTCAGCATCACTTAAACTGCTTTTTACGGCCCATCTTTTCACTAAATTCTCACACATTTCTAATAATTTGGCACGCTCAAGTCACCGTGCTGATAACAAATATGGCGCCAGTTTGTTTACATTGCGCGGATCAGTACGAAAATTTCAGTGATTGCGCAAGTCAGTGTTGCTAACATTGTGTGAAAATTTTGTGGGAATTGATTGGACAGTTTTTGAAATATTAGAAAAAAGTTATCTCGATAATAATTCGGCACGCAGTGTATGTATGTTCATTAAGATATAGACTTATTTCTATGAAATTTATACTAAAGCAATTTATCATTTTTTTTCTATGCTTATTTTATTTTATATATTATTTTGTTTGCAATATTATAATCTCATTTTGGTCTCATGGTGCCCTTTTTAACCCCCAAAATACATATATAAAAAAATAACATTTAGACAAAATCAACACATCACCAGCACACCACAAAGTATATTAACAATTTAGTTTCCATATTTCAAATTACATGGATAAGATATAGAAATGAGCATTGAATAAAGAATAAAGTTTCCATATTTCAAATTTATTTACAAAAATTTTGTCTACTGAAAACAAGAAAGTTACATGAAGTTACAATACTGTTAAAATGCAGGACATCTCAAAAAAACTGTATGCACACTTTTACAGTGTAGAGCTCATTGATTGAACCTTATGTCTTTAGACTTTTCTTGGCACACCCTATCAAAACTCAAGGACACATGGCACAGTGGATAAAGGCGTTGGTTAGATCCAGTGTGAGTTCAATACCCGGTTAAGGCAGTGGAGAACTTTCAGAGGGAAATTAACAGGAGATAACTGATAACTGATAACTGACATCCATCAAACTATGGAACTAGAACAGTCTACCCCAGTTCAATTCAACATTTCAACCACCTGAAGAAGGCCGGAGCATACAATGGCCGAAATGTTGTAATAAATATGGCGACAAAGATGAGGACAATAGTCTGAATAATGTAAATAAAGTACATAATACCTCATCTCAGAAATATAGACAGACCCTATCAAAACTGTTTTCATTTAATCACCACAGAGAACCTTTTCTGCCTGAAACCAGCATGGCTGATTCTAACTACAGGAGATCAACAGTTCCTGGTCTCACATTTACCAATGAGATGAAGTGAAGTGACTATATTGAATCAATTGCTATATCTATGGCAAGGAAAGTGGGCTTACTGTGTTGTGCCAGAAATTTTCCATCTTGCACATTTATAAATCTACAATTTGTCTATGCCCATTGAATACAGCTGCCATATCTGCTCTGGTGCTCCTGCTGTACATCTTAAGATTCTTGACAAAATGCAGAGCAGGGTCTGTAATGTAATTGATCTTGACCAGGCATCACGATTTCAGTCACTTTCTCACTGACATGGCTTCTCTCTGTCTTTTCTATAAATATTTTCATGGGTAAGGGTTCCAACACTCCCACTGGGTTTATGCGCCCATGAATATCATATATACATGGTGTAAAAAAATAAAATA